CCCCAGGGCCCCAAACCAGGCGACAACGCCCGGCTCGGAAAAATCGAGGAGGAGGAGGAGCAGGAGGAGGAGGAGGAGGAGAGGGAGGAGGAGGAGGAGGAGGAGGAGGAGGAGGAGGAGGAGGAGGAGGAGGAGGAGGAGGAGGAGGGAGGAGGAGGAGGAGGAGGAGGAGGAGGATCAGGAGAGGAGGAGGAGGAGGAGAGGAGGAGGAGGAGGGAGGAGGCGGAGGAGAGGGAGGAGGAGGAGGAGGAGGAGGATGAGGAGGAGGAGGAGGAGGAGGAGGCGGAGGAGGAGGAGGAGGGAGGAGGAGGAGGAGGAGGAGGAGGAGGAGGAGGAGGGGAAACATGTAATTGCGCTGCCCAGCAGCGGAAGCTGGCCCAGACCGACAAATGCCCGCTCCTGGGCAGGCCCGCGGCGCCAGCGATATGGCGGGCCGTGCTCGGGATGGACAGAGGAGCTGCTGTCAAGCTACGTCCCTCTCTTCCCGTGCCCATGGCGATCGCACGATACCCCTCCCCCTCCTCCTCCTCCTCCTCCTCCTCCTCCTCCTCCTCCTCCTCCTCCTCCTCCTCCTCTGCAGGATCTCAGCGTGGGCGAGCGTTGCCCCCGATGGGGAGCAGGAACACGAGGGCCACGACCAAGGCGGAACGCGGGAACGTCGCGCCGACCTTGGCCCACGCCGATCCTGGTCAGAATCCATGTGTGTATCGTCCCCGCGAAATGGCGACGGCCGACATGGACCATGACCAAGATCGGCATCGACAAGATCCCGCGACGGAGGAGGAGGAGGAGGATGAGGAGGAGGGGGAGGCGGAGGGGGAGGCGGAGGAGGAGGAGGAGGAGGAGGAGGCTGTGATCCCCGCGTTTCTTCCATCGCCCCCTCGTGCGGCCGCCCTCGTTTTCTTTCTCCCTCTTGCACGCCGGACATTTCGCCTTTCGGTTGCCCCGATTAGCCGCACGGTGGTGCGGACTGCCTCTGCCTCGCCGCCCATGGAAGGACAAATTTCTGCTATCGACTAGAAGAGAAGGCCGCGAGGAGGAGTGGCGGGAGCTTCCGTCGCCCGTGGCCCTGGCCACCGCGGCGCCGAAGCCGCCCTCTCCCGGAGCAGCATGCCGCCCAAGGACATGGCGGCCGGCGAGGGGGAGGGGGGAAAGGAACGGCGACGGCACCATCATCACCAGCGCGAGGCGCCAAGGACGGTCCTTCTAGTGGTGTGGTCCGTCACTCTCGCTCGAAACATCCCCAATCCCCAGCTCGGGGAGGCATCGTGGGCCTCATCGTTGGAGGTGGCATCCCTTGTGGTGGTGGTGGTGGTGGTGGTGGCGGTGGTGGTGGTGGTGGTGGTGGTGGTGGTGGTGGTGGTGGCGCATTCCCTTCCTCCGAGGGGGGGCCGAGGGACGCCGCAGGCTCACCTGGAGGCCCTCGCGGGGAGCGGTGGATTCAGACGAAGGTCTGTTCCCCTGGACGTTGGCAGCACATGCCAGGGACCCAAACTTCGCATGATATGAAAAGCGAGCCCCCCTCCCTTTGGCTGAGACACGCTCTGCTCGCCCAGCACCAGCGGCAATACCCAGAGCCGTGCCGACAGCGGCGCAGTCCACAAACAGCGCTTCCGTTTGAAAACAAGCCGTCCTTGTCCATCATGAGACAGCACGCGCACGCTGCGCGCGGAAAGCACTATCCGCAGCCGAACGAAGAGATCCCCGCGTCTATCAGGCGCGAAAGCTGTCGGGACAGTCTAACCCCCAACGCCCAAACTTCAAGTCTCGTGAGCATGGCCATCAAGTCTGCGGCTAGGACCCTGGTCCTCTTCCACTCACTCTCCATGTCGGTTCGCCCGACGTCTTGCTCCTCCTGGTCCTCCTTGTCGTCCCTCTCATCCTCCCGCTCCACCCCTTCCTCTTCTTCTACCTCTTCTGCTCCTCCTCATCCCTCCCATCCTTCTACCGATCCCACAGCCATCGTGCTATCGCAAGCAAGTGAGGGACGAAGGGGCACTTCTGCCACCGACGAGCCTCGGCACCGAACCGGCCCCGAACACCAGAGCCCCATCCTGAACCCGAAGTGGTCCTCACTTCAGCGTCTGCTATGCGCTCCTCTTCCTCCCGTCCACCCTATGAGATCCTCATCCTTTTCACCCTCCTCATATATTCACCCTATCCTCTGCCTCCCTGCCACCCTCACTCCCTACTAGTGCCCTCCGCTTCCTTCTTCCTCCTACCTCGTGACTCCTCCAAGCCCTCCCTCCCGCCCTCCTCCATCTCCTCGCACCCCTCATACTCATCCTCTGTGCCACTTCCCATCCCCAGCCCCTCTTTCAGATGGGAAGGAAGGGGTTGGGATGGGAAGGGGTGTGATTGGAGACGACAGGAATATAGTGAAAGAACAACTTGCGCCAGTGCAGTGGCCGCCGATCCGGCGTGTGAACTACAAGGAGCCTCAGCAAGAGCTTCAGCTCTGAGCCTAAGCAAGAGCGTCAGCTCTACTTGGGGGTGGTCGCCGTGGTGGCTCTGCCGGGGAAGAGGGGGAAGGGGGGGGTCCTCCATCTGGCGTTTTCTTAATGATTTGCGCATCCCCAAGATGTTTCGGCGGGGGTACCAGGACCCCCCCCCCCAAGACTCTCCCCCGGGAACCCTCCCCGGACCTCCTCGGGGAAGGGCGGGAGGGGGGGGGGTGGTCCTCCATCTGGCGTTTCTGAATGATTTGCGCATCCCCAAGATGTTTGGAGGGGTCCCAGGGACCCCCCGCAGTTCTAGCCGCTACCGCCCCCAGGACCCTCCCCGCGAAACCCTCCCCGACCCCCCCCCGGGACCGCTCCAGGCACCCCTCCTGAGGGCACGTCAGCGCCAAAAAGCGTCCCCGACGACTCCAAGAGCGCCCTCCCTCCCAAACAGCGTCCCCGACGACTCCAAGATCACCGAATCGGGAGCCCCCTGGATCGGCGGCACTGGCCGGAGGCCATTACAGTATAGTGAAAGAACAACTTGCGCCAGTGCAGTGGTAGGATCAGTATCATTTGGCGGCCCGACCTTGTGAGACGGGCTCGTTGTCACACGCACACACACACACACACTCTCTCACACACACGTATACACGTGCACACACTGTTAGCGGTCGCGGCCTCGCGCGCGGCGTCGAGGCCGAGAGAGTCACCGACCAGGCGGGCGCGCGCGCGCGTGCGGGGGGCCGCTCAGAGCGTGCCTGGCCCATCTTGGGTCGACCAGCCATCCGCATACCCGGGCATGGGCTTCGAGGGTGCAGCGGGTGGCAAGGGCAAAGCCTGCTAGAGTGGAGACGCAGCAAAACGACGAGCGACGAGACACAACAGGACTGCCGGGGCCAAGGCGGCGGCCCGCAGCTGCAGTGGGTAGGAGGCCGCGCGAGGCCTAGCGCGCTGGTGCGGCCAGCCGAGGGCCGACAGGCCAAGGGGCAGCTGCCTGAAATATGAGAGCAAGGAGGACAACACAACACACTCACACACACTCTCACACACACACACGCAAAACACACACGCAACACACACACACACACACACACACACACGCACACACACACACACAAACACACATACACACGCAAAACACACACGCAAAACACACACGCAACACACGCACGCACGCACGCACGCACGCAACACACACTACACATGCAACACACGCACACACACATATCTATATATATATATATACACAGGCACGCAGCACAAACGCAACACACATACACACGCACACACACACACACACACACACACACACGCACACACGCATACACACACTCTATCGCGAGCTGCAGGGGCACCGAGCGTGGAACAAAAACGGGCGCGCGGAGCGCAGTAGGGTGAGGAGGCAAGGCAAGGCAAGGCAGCTCCTGGGCGTCTGCTCTCGTGCCGTCGCGTGCTCTCCCAGAGCGCCGTCGGCGGCTCGGGCAAGCAGGGGGACGGAAGGACGCACGATAGGCCGCACGCAGCTGCAGCAAGGGGGGATGGGGGAGGGCGAGGGAGGGGCACGAGCTCGGCGGGCCTTCTCGTGCGTCTCCTCGTCCTCACCGCTCTCGCTCCTCCTCCTCCTCCTCCTCCTCCTCCTCCTCCTCCACCTCCACCTCCACCTCCACCTCCACCTCCACCTCCTCCCACTCCTCCTCCTGCTCCCCAGCTCCCCAGCTCCCCAGCTCCCCAGCTCCCCAGCTCCCCAGCTCCCCCTCCTCCTCCTCCTCCTCCTCCTCCTCTTCTTCTTCTTCTTCTTATTATTATTAGTATTCTTCTTCTTCTTCGTCTTATTATTATTATTATTACTAGTATTATTATTATTATTATTATTATAATTATTCTTAGTATTATTATTATGAATTAAATTATCATTATTATTATTAGTATTATTATTATGCTTATTATTCGTCTTGTTCTTCTTCTTCTTCTTCTTCCTCCTCCTCCTCCTCCTCCTCCTCCCCTCCAACTCTCGTCGGGATGGCCTGCTGCGATGTTTCACCACGCGCCCCGACATCTGCCGACATACCTTTCTTGAACCATCCGCGACCCTTCCCTCCATGGGAGCAGCTCTTTCCGCCCCGGCACCCGTCCTCTCGCCGCCCCGCGGCCCGACCCGACCACGGGACCCCCTGAGGGACCAGACCTGGGCAAAGCGCCAAGCTGAAAAAGTTACGCCGTCGGAAGCCTGGTGGGATGGCCGTCGGGAAACTAGGGGGCAAACAAACCTACCTCGCTTTTGACCACCCTCGCTTCCATGAGATACCAAACGATGCCAAACTACGGCCTGTACTGGTCAGGCGACTTGACGAGGAGGCGTGTGGTATGACTTGGTTTTGCCTGGAAGCGAAAGCGGGGTAGGTAATTCACGCTCCGAGAAACAAGCATCGGGCGGATTGTATGGGGGGCGCTACAGGGGCCCGAGGGGGCCCCTTCAGTTCCCCGCATGACCACCCTTTAGGGTTCCTTTGGCGCCCTATCGGGCGGCATTGGGGGGTGAAGAAAAGTGCCCCTGCAGCTCCGCGGACTTCTCAGATCGGCGCTGGACCCCCCCAGGGGCCCCTCTGGCGCCGCCCCTGGCGCGCTCCGCGCGCCAGGGTGGGGGGCCCAGCGCCGATCCGCGTGGGCCTCTGGAAGCGTGTGTTGATGTCGCTGTCGCTTCACAGATGGCCAAGGCAGAATGCCGTGCGTCAGTCGGCGGCGAAACTGAGGGGGGGAGTGAGAAGGAGAAGGCCTTCTCTAGAAGAAGAAAACAACACATAAACATGAACTTGTGGCGCTCCGCGCGGATTTCTTGGATTCGCGCTGGACTCCCATCCCTGGCGCGCGGAGCGCGCCAGGGGCGGCGCCGGAAGCGCCGCCGGGGGACCCAGGCGCGGATCCAAGACACCCGCGCGGAGCGCCAAAAGTCTATGTTTGTGTGGTTCTCTCTCCTTCGATTCTCAGTCAAAAGGCTCTGAAGTCCCCGGGGCCTTCTGAGGAGTTTTCGGAGCCTCGACCGAAGAAACAGGCAGCCCCTCAGAGAGGGCGCGAGGTGGCGCGAGGCTTTCTGAGGAGCCCCGCCGTCCTCTGAGAGGGCCTCCTCCTGCTCGCCTTCCCCCCCCGTGCGCGCCACCGAATATGGTTTTTAGGCCACAATGGGACGCACAAAGACATACCGATACTGTATGTTCTCCTTGGAGGCGCGCGTCCGACGCTAACATATAGTATGCCCATCTTGTAGTATATCGCGTCCCGAGCGGTGTGGCCAGAAAGCGCCCACCACGACGCATACACTATAAGATTTCTCGGTGCGCGCATCGCCCCCCGGGGAACGACGCACATACAGTAAGAGTATGTTGGGGTGACGCCGACATAACTCGGGTCTCCGGCGGCCGTTCGGGACGATCTGGGCACGGAAGGAGAAGAGCAGGAGGAGGAGGAGGAGGAGGAGGAGGAGGAGGAGGAAGGGGAGGAGGAGGAGGAGGAGGAGAGGAGGAAGGAGGAGGAGAGGCGGAGGAGGAGGAGGAGGAGGAGAGGAGGAGGAGGAGGAGGAGGAGGAGGAGGAGGAGGAGGAGGAGGAGGAGGAGGAGGAGAGGGAGGAGGAGGAGGAGGAGGAGGAGGAGGAGGAGGAGGAGGAGGAGGAGGAGGAGGAGGAGGAGAGAGGAGGAGGGGAGGAGGGGGAGGAGGGAGGAGGAGGAGGAGGAGAGGGAGGAGGAGGAGGAGAGCCCAGCGTAGAGGAGGAGGAGGAGGAGGAGGAGGAGGAGGAGGAGGAGGAGGGAGGAGGAGGAGGAGGGAGGGAGGAGGAGGAGGAGGAGGAGGAAGGAGAGGGAGGAGGAGGAGGAGAGGGGGAGGAGGAGGAGGAGGAGGAGGAGGAGGAGGAGGAGGAGGAGGAGGAGGAGAAGAAGGAGGAGGAGGAGGAGGAGGAGGAGCAGGAGGAGGAGGAGGAGGAGGAGGCCCCTCCCCAGCAGCCTGCCCGGGGAAGGCACGACGGGGCGAGGCTTGGCACCGGGAGAGGCAGCGCCCCAGGGACTTCTCCTCCGGCGGCGAGGGCAGGTCCGGAGCGCTCTCGGCGGGGCGCGCAGCCGCCGAGCGCGCACCTCGAGGGCGAGAGGCCGCCGAGGACCGACGCGGCCGCCCGAAGGCCCCGAGAGCCTCGGCCCCGAAGCTTCTCCCCACTCGCGCCCGCCGCCGAGCCGGAGCCCCAGCCTGGCCCCCCTCCCGACCGAGCGGCACTCCGTGGGGAGAGCAACACAGGGAGGGGAGCTCTCTATACTCCGACGCTTTTTCCGACCCCGCGCTGAAACCGCGCTGAAATTCGCACAGGAGCGCGGATCCTGGTGTACGAGGGATCCTGGTATACATTTTTCTTTGTTTCCTGGAAGACGGGGAAACAAGTATGCACCACACCACCCCGACGTCGTCCTCGACCCTCAAAAAATCCTGGGATTGACAAACAGCCCTTCACTGGTTATGTATAGGTTCCCATATCCGACAATGGGGAGACCAAAAGGTACCGATACCACTACTCCCTGGACCTCTCCTGGGGTGCGTTCTGACCAACATTTCGAGGCGAATCCGGCGGCGGCGACGAGTGCCTGTCAGGAGGCCCACACAGGGGAAATCGAGGGAAGGGGAGAGGCAACGAGGGAAGGGGAGAGGCAAGGGTACCTGTTCCTTTCGGCGGTGGACAAAAACCTCCCTTTAGCAAACCTCCCCTTAGTGAACACGGCCCGGGACCGAAACCGACGGACCTGGACCCGCAAAAACGACGGCCGCGACGCCCTCTCGCGAACCGAAAACGGCCAATTCCTGAATCGACGTGTCAGGGGCAGGAGGTCTATCCACCCCCGAACATTTCGTGGTAGGACTATAGGAATGCTGGGACGGCCGGTCCCTGCTCAACTTCCTCCTCTGGAGGAGGAGGAGAAGGAGGAGGAGGAGGGGGAGGAGGAGGAGGAGGATGAGGAGGAGGAGGAGGAGGAGGAGGAGGGCGACTCGATGCCCGATCGCGGGCGAGCCCCCGCGGCCCCCCGCGCGGAGCACCCGCAGGCCCCGTTTCTCTCGCTCGGCGGACGGCGCGCGGAGAAAAGCGGACCTGCGGCTCGGGCCGACGAGGAGGCGGAGGACGCGGAGGGGGGGGGAGGAGAACGAAGAGGAGGAGGAGGCGGAGGAGGAGGCGGAGGAGGATGAGGAGGCCGAGGCGGAGGAGGAGGGGAGAACGAGCGGAAGAAGAGAAAGCGCCGTAAACATCAACTGTTGGTGCTCCGCGCGGATTCCTTGGATCTGCGTTGGACCCCCTCTCTAGCGCGCAGAGCGCGCCAGGGGCAGCGCCAGAGGCGCTGCCGGGGGAACCCAGCGCGGATCCAAGAAATCCGCGCGGAGCGCCAACAGTTTATGCTCATGGCGTGTTTGTTCTTCTTCGAGGGGGGAAAGCAGAACAGGAAGATGAAGAGACTGGAGCGTAGGAGGGACCTGAGGATGAGTGGTGAGGACAGGACAGGGACTGCTGGTGACATAAATCATCGCTTTGTCCGATGAGGGGCGAGGAGAAAGAGGAGCCTGAGAAGGACGGGGGCAGCGGGGTGTGGGGAGGAAGGGAAAGGGAAGAGGCGGAGGAGGCGAGGGAGGAAGATGATGTGCAGATGGCAGTTGTAGCCTGCGAATTTGGCAGAGACGAATCCCCTGTCTCTGCATGTGTACAAAGCAACACTAACATTGCACAGAGCAACCTGGCCGCTGATGGGCAGTGGCGTCACCCCTCACCACCTGTGGCCCTCCTCCTCCTCCTCCTCCTCCTCCTCCTCCTCTTCCGCCTCCTCCTCCTCCTCCTCCTCCTCCTCCTCCTCCTCCTCCTCCTCCTCCTCCCCTTATCCTTTATCCAACGTCGTGATTTCTTCAATGCGGGGTCCCTGGAAACCTCGACCCCTTCCCCAGGACCGGCTTTTCATCCCGAGTCGCTTTTTGACGCTCCCGGGGCCCCGCGAGGGCCGCCAGAGGCAACAAAAAAAACGAGAAACACACCTCCGCCTCGATTTGTTGTTCAATGCGTCGGAGGTCTGGGGTGCTCCTCGCCCGCTCTCTTCCCCCCCTTGAACTCGCCAGAGGCTGCAGACTGGGCGCTCGTCGCACTGAGGCGGTAAAGGCGCTGATGACTAAACAGAGGAACGTGCCAGGCTCAGCTGCCCCGATACGCCACACGCAACACGTAGCGTATTGATACGGAGCTCAACACGTAGGCTGAAAACGTAGGTCCGACGCGATACTTTCGCCAAAACGTGGCCCAATACGTGGAGCCAACACGCAACGTATTGACACGGACGTCTTGAACACGGGACGCATTGCGTATCAAGACGGGCGCATCGAGGCAGCTAAAATGCCAGGGCATCACACGCGGCCGCTCCTGGAATGCCGGCCCCTGGCCCTGCCCGCGCGTGCGCTCTGCCGTGGCTCCTGGGGATGCGCCGGCAGCCAGCGTCAACACCGCGAGGTACAGGTAGGGAAACGAACTCTATACACCGACGCGCATTTTCCAAGCCCGCGCTGAAATTCGCACAGGAGCGCGGATCCTGGTGCACACGGGATCCTGGTGTATACATGTTTGGTTGTTTTCCCGGGAGAAAGGTATACACCACACCACCCCGACGTCGCCCCGGACCCTCCAAAAGTCGTGGGATTGAAAAGGCAACCCGCCACTGGTAATGTATTTGTTCCAACTTCCGAACAAGGACGCCGATCGGGAGCGTCCAAGGGGGGGGGCGTCTGAGAGGTGACTACCTACCAGACCACCCCAACCCAACCCGAAGACCCGAATTTCGGGTTGGGGGGGGTACGGGTTCCATACGTGTTTTCTCGATGTTCCCCGACCCCCCCCCACTGGAAATGGAGGTCAATTTGAGGCCTTCGGGTTGGGTTGGGGTGGCTTGGTGGGTGGTGAAGAGGGGGGTGCGCAGATCGTGGTCCGAGGCACGTGCGCGGCCGGGTGGAGGAGGATAGCCAGAAATCGAATGCAAAGATGACGAGGGGGCCATAAAATTCGGAGAGGTACTCCAAATCCCTTATTAATCGACCCCCCCCTAAAAAACCAGACCCCCCTCCAAATGCGACCTAATATTCCGGACCCCCTCTTCGATGGGGCGCCTTAATAAACCAGACCCCCTCAGCTCCAATCCAAAGAAAGCGACCTAATAAACCGGACCCCCTTAATGACCAAAAAGGCGCCTTAAAAAACCGGACCCGGGGGACGATTAATAAGAGATTTGGAGTATCATGGCACCAGACATGATATCCACCCAACTAGTCATCAACTGCTTCTCGGCTGACCCCGGGAATGGCAAGCATGAACAAACAATATGGCGCACGACAAAAAATAAACACGGCTTTGCCACGACTGCCGTGTCTGCAAGCATGACGCATCTCCTGAACTGGTACCTCTGCCTCCCCATCATACGCCTCATCTCCGTCATCCTCATAACACACATTCCGCATCCTCTTCCTTCTCCACAGACGGGTTGCCACATTTATCCTCACTGATTCTCGCGCGCGAGCCCCAACAGCCCGTGTGTAGCACAGCGGGCAGAGCCTTATGGGTGGATCCCTCTTCATAGACGCCAATGTGTGCGACCCTCTACGTGAGTGGAACCCGATGTGTGTGTGTGTGTGTGTGTGACCCTTTGTGTGGAACCTTATTTGTGGAATCCTGTGGGAGGGGCTCAATCTATGACATACTGTTACGGCGGTCCAAACACCCACGGAGGCGAGGGCGCCTGGACAGGCCATACTGTCTAACCAACCAACGCCGTGGCGGTCCAAACACCCACGCGGGTGAGGGCGGGAGACATGCGATAGCCGTCAACGAGCCAAAACCATAGCGGCCAGCCGAATCAAAAACGACGTACCTGGCAAGACATCGCATAGCGGCAACAGCAAGTAACAACAACACGGTCGAAACAATAACGGTGGACCTGGCAAGGCATGCCAGATCGGTCCAAGTAAGAAATCTCCGGGCGAAACACACCCAACGAAATGCAGGTGCGAGAATCGCAAGGTGAAATGGAGGTGGGTGGGGGGGGTAGCAAAAAGACAGCTGCGTCCAAGATGCCTCCACCCTGGGTCCTTTGGTGGAGCTCCCCATGGGGCCACGGAACGTGTGGGGTGTGCCGAGTCGGGTGCGGGTACGCCATGCGGACCCTGCCGCTGGGGTTTCGATCGGGCCCCCTAAGGGACCACGAAACACGAAACGTGTGAGGGGCGTGGCACATCGGGTGCAGGTGCGCCATACGGACCCTGCCGCCGGGGCCTTCGGCGGAGAGCCCTGTGAGGCCCCGAAGTGTGTGAGGGTTGTGCCGGATCGGGCTCGGGTGCGCTATGTGGACCCTGCCACTGGGGCCGTCGGTGGAGCTCCCGATGGGACCACGAAGCGCGTGAGGAGTGTGCCAATTCGGGTGCGGGTACGCCATGCGGACCCTGCCGCTGGGGCCTTGGGCGGAGCTCCACGAAGCGTGTGAGGGGTGTGTCAAATCGGGCGCGGGTACACCATGCGGACCCTGCCGCTGGGGCCTTGGATGAAGCTCCCTATGGGGCCATGCAACGTGTGAGGGGTGTGTCAAATTGGATTCCAACGTGGGCCTGTTACTATAGAGAGGGTCATGCAACAAACGTTGAAGCACATATTATGCAAATCTGCGCATATGCGGTCTGGCCAAGCGGGGCGGCGTCAACGCGACGCCAAGGAACGTCGTGGACTCGAGCATTTGGCCTGAAAGCACGCCACGCCCGACTACCCAAATCATGAAGTACTGCGACCGGTCACTGCGTTCTGGGGGGGTGCATGGACACGCGGAATACTGATCAGCTAAGCGTGAGTTGGCGCCCGCCTCATCCCCATGCCCCATCCCCCGCCTCCTCCCAATATCCCTTCGTTTTAGGCCCAACCTCCTCATGCCCCTCCGACCACCTCCAGTCTTCATCGTGCCCCTCATCCACATTGTCAGCCCCCATGTGCCAGTTCATGTCGTTCCTCGTCCTCCCCCGCCGGATGAATTCCCCATCGTCCACATGCCTGCCCTCATCCCATCCTCTACGCCCTAGTGCAGATCATCACCCCTCCGTGTGCACCCCCCCGCCTCCCTCGCCCCCGCGATGCTGACGCGGATGATGCAGCTCCTCCTGGGCCCATGTCCCCCCCTCTCGTCCTGCCCCTTTCATCCCCGGCCCCTTCGCCACCCCTCCTATCGGTCAAATCGGGTGCGGGTACACCATGCGGACCCTGCCGTTGGGGCCTTGAATGGAACTCCCGATGGGGCGTTCGTGCTCCTCCTTCTTCTCCTCCTCCTCCCGCTCCTGCTCCTCCTTCTCCTCCCTCCTCCTCCTCCTCTTCCTCCTCCTCCTCCTCCTCCTCCTCCTCCTCCTCCTCCTCCTCCTCCTCCTCCTCTTCTCCTCCTCCTCCTCCTCCTCCTCCTCCTCCTCCTCCTCCTCCTCCTCCTCCTCCTCCTCCTCCTCGGGAGTTCCATTCGAGGGGTGTGCCGAATCGGGCGCGGGCACGCCGTGTGGACCCTGCCACCAGGGCCTTCGTTGGAGTTCCCGATGGGGCCACGAGAAGTGTGAAGGGTGTGCCGATTCGGGCGCGGCTACGCAGTACGGGCCCTACCGCTGGGGCCTTCGGTGGAGCTCCCGAAGGGGCCACGAAACGTGTGATGACATGCGCAGGGCAGAGGCAAGGATGGGAAGAGGAGGGAGAGGCGAAGGGAGGGGAGGAGACGCGAGGCGCTGTCTCTCCACAGCGAGGACCCAACACCACAGGATGGCTGGAAAAGCAAAAGGAGGTCCAGGCAGCAACGGCCGACCTGGCCCCACAGGCCATCGCGGCACACGCAACCAACGCCATAGAGGCTCGAGCAACAACGGCGCACCTGGGAATACAAGCCATGGCAATCGGAATAATCAGAGCCCTAAAGCGGACAACGCAACACCAACAACCGCCATACTGGCCCACGCGCAAGATCCAGACGCACGTCACTAGGCCAGTTCGGTAGAACACAAGCTAGACTTAGGTCGAGCGCGTCCTCCTACAGGCGGATTCAACCTCGCCTCGTCGTCGCGCCGCGACGGGGGTCGGAGCGCCTTCGGCGCGTGGTGGCTGCCCGCGACGGGGGTCGATGTGGCGCTTTCAGCGGGGGTGACGACCCCCGACGCTTAATAAGAAACTCGGAATATCCGAGATCGTGTTCGAAATTCATCCGACAACCTCTGCGATGTTCGACTGCCCATGTACGCATGCAGTGTGCTTACTGACAGAGCTCCCATTTGCGGGCACCACTCTATCAGGAGGAATATCACTCGGACAGCTGCAGATGTGAGATCTGGGATGTCATTGATGTGACCTAGACAGCTGTTCTGTAGATCACCATTCGAATAATATGTGCCACCTTGTCGCAAGCACCAGTCGAAACGTAATCAAATACCGAGTACTGCGCATGCTCTAGATGCGGCCCAGAACACCAACTCACTGATCGCACTGGCGCGTCTGGGCTGGGGTTCGTCAAACACCTATCCAGAGGCCCTGGAAGCGCGGCTGGGGCTTCGAGCTGCCTACGTGCCACAAGATGGCCCGAAGGACCGTCCTAAATAGACTCCTGGGGGTCCTCATGGGCTGCGTTGGAAAAGAAGCCCTCCCCTCCAGGATGGCTCCCGCGACCACCAGCAGAACCTCAAGAGGCCCCCAGGAGTTCCCCGGAGGCCCAAAGAGGCATTCGAGAGGGCCCCGAAAGAGGGCCCCAAATAGAGCCCAATAGATAGTCTTCGAAGAGGCCTCACGTCCACGACGCAGGACAGGTGAGAGGACAGGGGTCTAGCCACTGGATACCAAGATTCTACATCATGGTAAAAGGCTTGCAGCCACAGTCATAGCCCGAGCAACACAGGCTTGATAACAGAAACAGCATCGAGATCTGACTGTCCACTTGTGTGCAATGCATTTTGGTACCACGTTGCCTGTCTGTTACGACGAACGTTTCAGCTCCGACGCTGATCGACTCCCATGCGCGATGCGCCTGTCATAAATTGTTCAGAGCTCGTCACGAGCCATTTGTTTCAGGTGGTGCTGAAAGTGCAGCCGACGACCGCGATGCTCGCAGTGTGCCATGTAGCTCACATCCCTGGACCACTTCTGCAACCACGTCCGCGCCCTCCGCTTGGGGGTGACTTCTGCGTGCGCTGAGAGGGCCGTGGGTGAACGCCGGTCGCTGATGGTCGACGCCGCCGCTCGGCTTCTGAGGGCCATCCGCCGCTCTCGTCCGGACGCCTCCCGGAGGCCGAGCGCCCCTCTCCTCTCGGTGCCACGTCCTCGTCCTCCCTCTGCCCCTCGTGCCCGTGGGGCCGCTTCCGGGGGCGGCGTGGAGCAGACGCGGCGCTACTCCAAATCCCTTATTAATCGTCCCCCGGGTCCGGTTTTT